CGTCTGCGAGAGCTGGAGCGGGAGAGCAGCTACCTGCGGGCCGTGCTGGCTAACCAGAGCGCTCTCGGGCAGCTCCTGAGCCGCTTAGCCGGGATCCGCGCCGGCGGGCTGCAGCTCAGCACCAGCCTCTTCAGGGACACGGGCAGCCCCCGCCGGCATCACCACCCCCTCCAGCCTGCCGGCGAGAGCAGCGACCACGACTACGCCCTGCCCAGCTCCCGGCATCCCAGCCTGGAGGAGGCGGCGGTGGTGACGGAGACGGAGGAGGAGTGGGCGGCCCCCGGCGGGATCTGCCTCCACGTGGACCGGGATCAGGTGTCGGTGGAGTTCTGCTCCATCTGTGCTCGGCGAGCAGCGGCCTCCTTCAAAATGTAGGGTCAGGTACCTGCTGCAAGTACTCGTGGGGTTCTCGCCCCTAGGGGCCTCGCGTCGTGGCGGAGGAAGCAGGCGATGGTGCGGAGGAAAAGGATAAATACAGTGGTGATGGGGTGGTATTGGGGGAGATGCAGAGGAGGGGAACCTGGTGCTTAAGTGGCCAGGGTAACCAAAAAAAAAAAAAAAAATTCTCTTGAACGGCACATTGGGAGCCAGATGGTGGCCTTGGTTAAAGGCCGTGTAAATCTGGCGCGTGGACGGTAGTGATCTGAGCCTGTTTTTTGCGTAAGAGTCGTGCAGAGCTGTGTACAGCAGTGCGATAATTATCGTGCAGACTGACACGCGCATACACACGCAGAGGTGCCGCCAGAGCCCGTTTGCAGCACTTGGGTGGAAAGATCATGCCGACCAGACGCATGAAGGTGTGCTTGGTTCCGCTTCGCAGTTGCCAGTAAAGATAACACTGACTACCCGGTCTTGAGTCAGATAATGTCTAGCCTGCTTATCCTGAGGAGCCGAAAATGCTTAGAAAACCAAACCAAAATCTTCATTAAGACATCGTCACTGGACAGACTTAAGAAAATAGTAATGATCGGCAAAAGAAAGCATGCATATAAAATTGTACTGCATCTCAGTTATACATTACTATTAAAACCTCTCTGACAGTTTCTCTTTTAGGTGCTTGCCCTGCCAGGCTCCGTTGTGTAGGGGTTAAAGAACAGTCGTTTTCCACCTCGCAACCTGGTAAGGATCAATATATTCCCATAATGCGGTATCAGACAGCTTGCTTTGCTTTATGCCAGTCTCTTGTAATGACTGGTTCAGGAAATGATTTCTCTGGTCCTTGGCCTACTCTGCCAAAATGTTTCTAGCTCTGGATGATAACTAGTAGTGAAAATTACAGTCACATCATTCTAATTAGCTGTTTTCTTCTTTTCATTTTTTTAAATGAACATGCATATAGTAGCCAATACACGAGATACGTTTTGAATTGAAAAAATAGATGTTTATGCCATTTGAAATATGAATTTTCTATTAAACTAAGTATCTGATGAGCTGAAAAGGGAAAATGTGCTAATAAGGGGGATGTGACACAACCTTTTATCATAGGGGACTGTCCCACCAGTGTAAGTAAATTGCTTTTTAAATGAGAAAAAAATTTGTGACCTGTTGGTTTAAAATACTGTCTAGTGTTAGGGATGCACGGTACCTTTATAAAGTCCTTCTCTAGCTTGCTCTAATTCATGATGCGGAGTTTTGCCTGATTAAACAGAACCTGAACACTGGTTATATCTGTACAGTGGAATCCTAATGTAGAGAAGTCACTTGTTTGCATGGACCTCTAACGAGAATTGCGGTTTGAAGAATGCAGTGCATCGAAGTAACTCGTTACTGTAGATTCCCATAAGTAACAACCCGTGCCCATGCACACTGAAATTTCTACGTTACTTCAAAGTAGCTTTAAATTTTAAAGATACTGCATGTATATGCATGTGCTTAATTTTACTGCAAAGTTCTTAATTTAGCCTCTTACAGTATCCAGAAATCTATAACTTTATATAATTAAGCACAGTTTGGAGATGAGCAAATATGTATCTTGAGGCTAATGATTTGAAAAATGCTCCATAATTAACTGAGATAGGAGGAAAAATAGTTTGACCAACAATAGCGTGTGTTTTCTTGTACTAGTCAGTGTTTCTCCCTATCACAAAAGACGAGTGGGTTGTTTTTTCAGTTGTATTATAATGTCCAGGTTGTTTATATGTATGTCAGTTGGGGGAAGAAGGATTGTGAAAATTATAATATGTAAAGTGAGGTTTCACAAAGAATAGACTTTCCTAAAACAGTTTCATTTATTAACTTCTTTTGAAAAAAAGATTCTGTTTAGTGTTTCTGAAATCTTGTTCTTTAAAGCCTTAAATTTTGTGTTTAAGGCTGTGTAGAAGGTGAAAGCATTTTCTCTCAGTCATTTGCTTTATTGGTGCTAGATCCTGTCAAGTGTTCATCACTATAAAAGGAGCTTGATTTTTCTTTGTGAAACATCACTGTGTGATAAAGTATATGTGTATTTAGCATCCTTGTTTTTCTTTATGCTAAAGTGGATTCAGCTGTGTTGGGGCAGAAGAGACGGGACCAGCTGCTGGCCACATTTCCTGCTTTATTTTAAAAGGTAGTATAAGAAATGAGAATAAAGAGGTAACAGGGCTTTTGCTGTCTTTGGTTAAAAAAAAAAAAAAAAAAAGTTGAATGCTGGGATCATTTACTGTCATCCAAGATTTTTTTTTTAAGAGACAATATCCTATCAAACAGGTTTTACTCCACTGTATACAGAATTCCATCTGCTCAGGGTATATTGCCAGCACAAAGGAGACTTAGTGGGGTATGTGTTACCTTACACCTCTGTGGTGGCATCAACAGGACTGTTCAAAGTTTCAGTCTTAAAACTGTGTAACCCTGCTGTAAGTGATGGGTTACACCAGTGCCACAGGAATCAATGTTGACCATTGAGACCCGTACTGGCTGATAGAATGAAAATAATTAAGTTAGATTCAACCTAGGTTCAGTCTGCCTAGCTCAGACTTCATGAACGTGGTTTATTTTGAAGTTTAACATGCCTGATGAAAAGAGAAACGCTAATGTAGCAAACATGGGATGTTAAAATGGCATTTTTAGGTTACTTCATTGTAGAGGTGTTTTTTAAGTTAATTTAAATATGCATTCTTTCTTTTTGCATCACTGCTAAATGGTAGGGGTCAGGGACATAGTTCTGCTCTCTTTTGTGAACCTGCACATCGCTCTAGTCATGAAACTACCTGTGAGCTGTGTCTGAGAGTAGCTGATTTTCTGACATGCAAAATGATATATACCGGTACAAGAACAAGGTCAAGTCCCAAGAAAGTAAGTGGCTGCAGGCATTTCTAGTGCCTACTGAATCATATTTAAACCAAATAGAGGGGAGGAAGTTATTTGAAATTCTAACCGACTGTACTATCTGTATGGTGTATTATTAATGTAGCTTTTTGAAGTGGAAGCCTTGAAATGACATAACTTAATACTTGAAAATATATTGTAAATGTTTCTTTGTATTAATGTGCCATCCAGATAAAAATACAATATCATAATAAAATCAGACTTGTTGATCTTTCAGTTTATGGGCTCAAATGTTTTTTCATCTTTTTCTTCTCATTAATGCCTTGCTTTAATTCAGTGGTTCATTACACAGAATGGAAAAACAGAGGGGAAAAAGCTGTTGCTGCTAGATATCTGTGTGGGTCACCAGCTAGAAAACAAGATGATATGGATCAGGGTGTGCAGGAAAAATGTACTTCCTCATCTGTCTTTCCAGTTAATTTTGTGGCGAGGACAAAGGCATTATTCCTTGAACCAAAGATAGAGTTGTACTTCTGAGAATCACCACTCCTTGTATTTTACAGTTGGTTTTCTTAGTATTTTATTAATGTGGATGTGTTTGATCAATAAACCATGTGTAAGGGACTGTGTCAGCCGTTTTGTCTCGACATTGCTGATACACCATTACACCCCCCCAAGCCGCAGGGTGGTGTAAGATGGCAGCTGTCTGTTTCAGCCCCACGCCATTTCCTCCACTGGGCCTTGACGTCCCGTTGCTGGGAGGACAAAATCCACCCGGAGCTGGAAAAGCTGTGGGTGCGTGCAGGGCCGGGGGTGAGGGGGACATGTGGAAGCTGAAGGCGTCAATGGCCAATGCCCCCCGCTGTCCCGTATGACCACTGTGGACATCTGAGCATGGACATGTGGGGGAACACGGGGAGGGAATATGAAATGGGCTCTGGCAATGAGTAAACTAGTGGTGGGGACTGTGTAAAAGCTGCTTCGTGCTCCTCTCTAGAGAAACCTCTCTTGCGGTAGGTTTTTCACTTGCCTTCGCTCTATCACCCCCCGAAGCTCTTGCCTGCCGAAGCTTCTCGCTCGCGGTAGTTCTCCGTGTGCCTTTGCTGTATCACTCTCCGAAGCTCTTGCCTGCAGAAGTTTTTCGCTTGCTTGGTTTCTCTCCGTTGAGCTTTCCCCCCATCACCAGCGCTGGGGCCAGACCAGCAGGACACAGCTGGACTCGTGGTGGTGGTAATTAGTATTGCTGCTTCTCCTTTTTGTTTGCTCAGGTATGCTGATTTTTCCTTTCTTCTTCTGTCCTATCACTGTTATCAATTATTTTGTTAAATAAAGCTTACAAGGTTGTACAACATCTGACCCTGTTTGCATCTTAATCTCGCCCTCAGGATCGTTTCAGAACCCTCCCCAATACTGAATTCGGGACGTTTTAATTTGGTGTCACGGACAGGATCCCTAGAGGCCAGAGTGCTGTACAACCTTGCTGTGTTCAGTGCAGACCTCTCAGGATGAACTAACCCCCTTTGTGTTACATTAAGGTGTGACCTGAGAGTGAATAGGGGTAGAATGGATAGTAATACTGCATTTTTGTTTGAGGAAGGTGTGACCTCCTGAGAGAGAAAAGGGGAAACTTGGATATGAAGGTGTGACCCTCTCAGGATGATGACCTCCTGAAAGGAGGCCAGAGAAAAAGAAAGGCCAAAGAATGGCCATCCAGAAGGCAGCTGATGCTTGTGATGATGTGCCCTCATGGGTTAGAGGAATAGATAAATTATATGATGTTTTGGAAGTGTACCAATCTTGTCTCTCACTCCTGGGACAAGATTGGGTGAAAAATCACTGGTTTGAACCACAGAGGGTGGTGGATAGGATAAGAGCATTGCAGAAGGAAGCTAAGGTTAGGAGAGGGAATGGAAAAGCTGTAATTTGTGCAGTGTTAGGAGCGAGTCTGGCAGCTGCGGTGGAAGGGAGAAAGCAGAATTCTTGTCAAGCTGATACTGTAATAGACTCCCTGCAAATGGTCATACAGACCCTGCAGGAACAATTAAAAGAAAGTAAACAATTGCTAGAGGATGAAAGGAACAAAAATATTAAAGGAGGAATTGAGGAATCAATTTTTGAGGGATGTAGATACAGTAGTGGAGGTAGAAGTGAAGCTGTTGGAGAAGGGGATACGGCAAATTTATCCCCAAGGAGATTTACAGAAGGCAAAAGAAACCGTAGAAATCCTCCCCGACATGTATCTGCTGGTTAAAACAAGAGTACACGTATGAGGACGATAGCAATGACCGTCCTCAGGTTGTCACCAAAGAAGTCCCATTTACAGCAACTGAATTAGCAAAGTTGAAAAAATATTTTGCAAAGACTGCAAAGGAATCAGAGACAGAGTACGTGTGAAGAGTGTCTCTGACAGGAGGGGATGGAATTTTGTTGTCAGAAGCACAAGGATACTGGAGCCCAGGTGTGTTTCTAACTCCCAGTGGTCGCTGAGCCCCACGGTCACTGACTCAGAGCTGCGTATTGGGCTGGAGGGCACAACCCTTGGGGAGGGGGGATCAGTTAGTGGAAAGTGTGCAGAAGGAAGCCTGTTTCCAGATGATGTACGATCGGGAGCTCAAGCCCAAGCAGGGCTCCCCGCTGATAATGCCTGCGGACCCAGAGAGGATGACTCCCCTGATACAGGGACTTTCTGACTCTTCAACCCTTCTTCAATAATACTCATTTATAAAGCTTTTGAAAGATGTAGCATCGCCCCTTAGAGCTAAACACTAAGCAGGCAATATAAATGCTTTTTTAAAATCCCATTTCCAAAGAAAAGCAGCTGTCCTTACAAAGCTGTTATTCAGCTGTATACCCTAAGCTGGACATAATGAAAAACTTAACTTGCATTTAAGTTCAGAACTGAAAAGAATGCCAGTGCAAAGTCTTAACTTTGTTTTTTTTATTAAAAAAAAAAGACAGCAAGCAACAATTTATTTCTTTTATTATGTTTACTTATCCAAGGCAATTGAAAAAGTTGCTTAACTTCATGCTTGTAACTCTTCAGTATCTCTGCTAGCATCCATCTGCTGCAGTATTTTGACATATATTCCATGATGTTTAGTTGCAAGATATAATCCAGTTAGAGCTTGTATAAGTACAGCCCAACTCATCTTTCTAAAGACAGGCTTAGAAACTGAGAGCCAGAAGCGTACTAGATTTTCTTTCCCAGGCAAGGGAGATGAAAAATACCTAAACAATATAAAGAGTGGTAGAAATTTCTTTTTTTCTTCCATCCTATTTAAGTGTCAAGATTGAACATTAAAGTCATTAAAAATATTTAGGTAGATATTCATTGTCACCTTCCTCTCCTAAGTTAAATTCACCTGGTGGTACTGAGTTCTCAGGATAAATCCTGACCACATATTGCCATCTCACCATCCCCTCACCGTGCTTTGACCCAACCCCAGAATTACACCTGCCAGGGTGCTGCCAGGATGAGCAAGGTTTCTCGGCCACGGAGCCAAAGGGCACCAAGCAGCAACCTTCACTGCCTGGCAGGACAGTGGCCACAATTTCACATACCCAGGCACATCGCGGGCAGCTTGTAAGGCTCCAGCTAAAGACAAATGCTTTACAGCGTATCAGTTTGCAGATCTTGTTTCATCTTGGAGGCCCAGTGTAGCTCTTACAAACTTGGCCTTGTAATTTGATGACCTTATTGTAAATCCCCTTCCATGTACTAAAAGGCTACAAGAAGATAGGCGTGCATAGGCTAAAAATCCACAGAACTTGAGAACTGAAGATCTGACCAACAAGTACATTTCTCTTACTGCAGGTAAGACGTACCTGGCTGCCAGGCTTGCGTTCAGGGGAAGAGCCAGGAAAGCAGGATAGAGACCACCCACCACAGCCCCTGTTAATCCTCCTCTGACCACAGCACAGACCTCACAGTCCAGCTGACCTGCATGACAAACAAAATGTTTCACTGTCAATATCCACATCGCTCCAACCTAACAATTTAGAAGCTGCATGCAACATGGAAAAAGGCGCTCGACAGAAACCAAGTTGTGCAGGTATGGAAGAAATTTCAAAAGAAGACTCTTCTTTTAGAAAAAAAAAAAACACAACAAAAAACAAACCCAAAACCCACTCTTGTTCCAACCCATGAAGAATTTATCACTAAAGTTTACCTTCAAATGAAATAATACAGACAAACTGAACTGCTTTGCTGCAGTCACTTTTACACGACTTTGAATGAAAAATGCTAAAAATCAGTGATGTGTAGCATAATTATTTTATAAACATATATAAATATACATATGTATCTCCCCACTCAACTTCAAATACTCACTGCTGCACAGTGCATGAAATAATCTGGTTTTCAAACCCTGCTCTACAAACTGAGGTTTTTCAAGAACAGTTCAAGACCACCGTTCTGCAGAAAGGAAAAGGTCCTCTAGTGTTGTTACGCTGTGTACAGAAAGCAAAGCCCTTTCGAAAACAAGGAATAATGAGGTTTTTTACCTGAAAATAAAGGCTCACGCACAAACCCCTCATACACTGCTACTGTTGAAAGGAATGGAATAACAGCCATTGGCAGAGCTGATGCTATGAAAGCCCTTCTGACATGCAAGACGTTCCTGAAGAAGTTATTTGCTGCTAAGCCACATAAACTTGCATTTGCTGCAAGGAAGTAGGATCCATGATTACAAAGGTTCCTGTGAAAGAAGGAAAGTCGCTTCAGTAATTGAGAACTGGAAAGAAGTTTGGCTTACTCAGTGCTACAATTCACTGCTGAATATCCTACAATAAGAGGTCAGAGATGTAAATCTCTCACTGGTGCAAACCAGAGAGTAACTACTTTCAAAAGCAGCCAGTACAGCATTGCTGAGTTTACATACACCTCAAGAATGAAGTGGCAGAAAGGCTGAGAAGCCTTTTCTGCATTTTTTAAAATTTATTATGGCTAATGGAAACTTCATGGAATTTGCTCTCCTAATCAGCATGTTTCTAAGAATGTTTTCTCAAAAGAAATCAAAAATAAATAGATGCAGGAGTTAGTTGTGATTATAATCAACCTTGTTTCTATCCTGCTTACCCAGTAGCATAGATTTAGTTTCAACCTAAGTGCTTACAGGGCAGATGAGGCAGGACAACTATGGCCACTGAGATCTCACAATAAGGATCTCGGCAGCTGCTGGCAGATCACAGCAGCGATCCTGCAGGCTGAAGGGCTGAAAGCCTTCCTTGTGTGCATCGAACATGTGAAGTTCAGGTCACAGAATCATTCAGGTTGGAAAAGACCCTTGGGATCATCGAGTCCAACCATCAGCCCTACTCTGCAAAGTTCTCCCCTACCCCACATCCCCCAACATCTCACCTAAACGACCCTTAAACACACCCAGGGATGGGGACTCCACCCCCTCCCTGGGCAGCCTATTCCAATGTCTGACCACTTTTTCTGTGAAAAATTTTTCCTAATGTCCAGTCTGAACTTCCCCTGCTGCAGTTTAAAGCTATTCCCCCTTGTTCTGTCACCAATCACCTGTGAGAAGAGCCCAGCACCAGCCTCTCTACAATGTCTTTTCAGGGAGCTGCAGAGAGTGATGAGGTCTCCCCTCAGCCGCCTTCTCCTCACACTGAACGCTCCCAGCCCCTTCAATGGCTCCTCACAGGATTTATTCTCCAGGCCCTTCACCAGTTTCGTTGCCCTCCTCTGCACTCGCTCCAGCACCTCTACATCTCTCTTGTATTGAGGTGCCCCTTGCTAGGAGGTCACACTAATTAAAATTAAAGGCTGCAGAAGTCCAACATACTGGTTTACAGAACTGGAGCTCCTATTTTTCCCTTGGTAACAGAGGGACTGGATTCTGTTATCTACCATGTTTTTAAGATGTTTACAGCAGCTACTCCTGTTGCAATCTGTAATATGGTGAAAGCAGAATAGAACAAATTCTGGTCCAAGATAGTCAGCATTTAGTATCTTGACAAACAGTGCCCATCTGAGTACATTCCATCACAGCAGGTAACACAAGAGAGGGAATGGAAGAGTGTGCCAGTTTTACAAGCCTGATGAGCAATCTGTGATTTATTTCGTTTGACTCACAGAAGGAAGTTGTGCATTACCTTTAGCATTATACCTGGCACAGACAATTGATTAGCGGAAACAACTCTTTGCTTTAGGTTTCCACAAATCTAAAATTTCCCAAAAGACAACTGTTACCAGGCAAAGCAATGAACTGAAGGCACTCTGATTCTGAGGCCGTGCCAGTACTATTATGTTAAAAGTGTATTTCTAAAGTGCATCAGAAGTTGGATTTACCACTAAAGCCTCGAAGAAAATAAAATGCTTGATGGGTCACAAAATCTATGCGAGGCCAAATGTCATATTTATTTTCAAAATTATCAAATGTTGACAATCTCTAAACCATTAGCAATTAAAATACATGATTTTTGGAAATCCACCTATTTAAACTCTTCCACATTTTAATGCTTAGAATAACGTTAAGCACTGACAAACCATACAAAAAAGGCTTCAGAGCTGTAGGTGCTAACTCTGCAAAACCTAAAATATTAAAAACATCTGACATCAGTGACACCAACTATTTCTCATTTTGAATAAGAAAATACTTTCATTCTTGGTACATACCCAGTTTTCAAACATGAAAAATAAGCTACTAATAATTCAATTCTGATGCTATACAGCAAAAGTACTTGACCGGTCAGATCTCTCTTGCCCTCATTTAGGAGACCTGGTTTTTTTGGGGAGTTTTAAAGAGTAAGGGACCCATTTGCTTTTCAAATCACCACTTTGCCAATACTAAGTGTCATTCACAGAAATGTCCCCAGAGTACAGATTCTGCAAACCAACCATTTCATCTTATTGGTATGTTTAAAATCACAGGCAGTGAAATGCCTGTGTGCATATACACATGTGTAGAGGACCAAGATTAAAATTAGCAGTGTATTTGCAAATCCAAAATAGAGTCCATTAATGAACCCAGGACCAGCACAAGCTACTCTGGCTTATGGATGTACAGAACTGCTACGCTGCATGAAAGGAAAAAAACCTGAAGGATAGAAGGGTTTGGGTTTTGGCTTTTTGGGGGTGTTTTTAGTGGGAGGTGGTTGTCTTTGTTGGGAGGGAGGTGGTGTTTGTTTTTTAACACTAGTTCCCTAGTGTTAAAAACAAGAACTTTGGTGAGCAGGAACTCTCTCAATCAGATTGCAGGATGCTTCCCCTTCCCTTCCAGCCATTACTGACCTCCCCTCTGGACATACAAACTTTAAATTCTGCCCAGGCAGTTTCAAATAAAGACACACACCCTGGCAGCTATTTCCTTCTAAGGCCCAGCAGTTAGGTACCACAGTTTCTATCAAGACATTATCACATCACCACTAAGGCATCTGCCTCCCCCTTGGCAACCCAGCTCTTCTGGGGAAGGTCTTTTAAGTCAAATGTGAGCACAGCAGATCCTACACAAAGCTGCACCACTGACTGCAACAGAAAGGATAGTCTTGGTATTTTTCCTTCTCACCTGTGCAGGGAGGCCCTGAATTACTACTGGCAGTTTCTTTAGCCAGCAATTTAGTCGTATTAAAAATTAATAAAAGAAGCTTCTGATCACATGATACATACACAAACGGCTTCTTGCAGAACCAGCCCAGGTCCAGTAAGGTTTTGCAGTGAAATGCAGTATCACAAACCAGAAAAAGGTTGTTTCTGAGGCCCAGAAGACATTTAGCTGGTTTTCTGCCACATGGAACCCTGCTGGTGAGCCTGCATGACTATGGCTGACTCATCCACCACTACCACCTGGATACCTCAGTCTCACCTTCCTGAAACCCCAAGTAGTGCAGAATAAAATGGAGAAACTAGCAGGTTGATGCTCACTCAGTTTTGGCCCTGGGCCAGCCCTGCGGGACACAAGATGACTCCTGAAGAATCACAAGAGTATTTGCTTTATACTCTCCCAAATTTCAGTTTCCTAGAAAATTTATTAGCTCTAGCACAGAACTGTGTGAATGCTCTGAGCCAGCCAGGGCTGATCAGCCTTCCCAGAACCTTAAGCACTTGGGAGCACATGCCAGAAACCAGCTGAGCAGGACCAGAGCTAACAGTAAACTAAACATATTTAAAAAACTCACAAAACAAGTTTTCTGTTCTGGACAATAATAAGTGTCTTCACAATTAAATATTTTTGTAACTGCAAGGAAGATTTGCAATACAGGAGTAAGGGAAAAGAAAAGCCTTCAAGAGCCTTGAAATGTTTGATGCTCATTTATTTTACCAGCACTTACTGATCTGCTTTAGGAAGCTCATTGAATATCTTTTGTATGACTTCCAACCGCTTAAATCCGTCCAAATATAGTCTTTGCTGTACAGAATCTGGTTCAAGAAACTCTCTTCCTGTCATCTTGAAGTCCTGGATCATAAGGGACAAACAAACAAATGTAATCAAAGTTACACAGCCCCAGTATGTATCAAATAAATATTCAGACTCTTGGCACTATGCAATCACAAATGCATTTCCTATTTTTTATGGCAGAGTTTTCAGATGGAAAGGGCACAATGCAGATACAGAAGTCTGTGATATTTACGACTACATGAACCCTAAGAAACTGCTTATTTTGGTGATGTTGCAGCTGTGGTTTGACAATTGCTCTAAGCCAATTTAAGTACTCGCTGTGATGAAAATGGACCGTCTCACACTCCAGACACTCCTGCCTGCACACTTCCAACCTTGGGGCCATACAGCAGCCTGGATCAGCAAACACATATGAAAGCTGCCTAGAGGAACAACAGGAAGCATAGCTGTTTTTTTCCAGCTGGATCACCTTCTAACACACTGATCCCTACTACCAGCAGCATAAGAAAAGACACAAACTCTTGTTAGTAACCAAGTTTGGCAGTACTTCAGGTTTAAAGTGACTTCACTGTCAAATAGAAACTACAAGGGAAAACCTCAAATAAATCCATACTTTGTAAAGATTTAAAGAAATCATGAAGATATTTACTCTGCTTTTTATTCCACACTTAAGGATGCTAATTATTAGTATTCTTAGCCAGAGACATATAAAGTCAGAAAGCATACAGTTGTTTACATGTCCAGGTTTTAGTAGCAGGGGGCTACAGGTGTGGCTCCTGTGAGAAGCTGCTAGAAGATTCTCCTATATCTGACAGAGCCAATGCCAGCTGGCTCCAAGATGGACCCACCACTGGCCAAAGCTGAGACCATCAGTGACAGCAATAGCACCTCTGGGATAACACATTAAAGAAGGGGAAAAAAACTGCTGCATAACAGTGAGTTAGTGAGTGAGAACAGGTGAGAGGAACAGCTCTGCAGCCCCCCAGGTCAGTGCAGGAGGAGGGGCAGGAGGTGCTCCAGGCCCAGAGCAGAGGTTCCCCTGCAGCCCGTGGGGCAGCCCATGGGGAGGGAGCTGTGCCCGGCACCCATGGAGCTCCACGGGGGAGCAGAGACCCACCTGCAGCCCGGGGAGGAGCCCACGCTGCAGCAGGGGGATGCCCGAAGGAGGCTGTGACCCCGTGGGGAGCCCACGCTGGAGCAGGCTCCTGGCAGGACCTGTGGCCCCGTGGGGAGGAGCCCACGCTGGAGCAGGTTTGCTGGTAGGACTTGTGACCCCGTGGGGAGAGGAGCCCACGCTGAGGCAGTTCATGAAGAGCTGCAGCCCATGGGAGGGACTCACACTGGAGAAGTTCATGGAGGACTGTCTGCTGTGGGAGGGACCCCACGCTGGAGCAGAGGAAGAGTGTGAGGAGGAAGGAGCAGCAGAGACAATGTGACAACTGACCTCAACCCCCATTCCTAATCCCCTTGCGCCACTCGCAGGGAGGAGGTAGAGAAATCAGGAGTAAAGTTGAACCAGGGAAGAAAGGAAGGGTGGCAGGAAAAGTGTCTTTAAAAATTGATTTTATTTCTCATTACCCTACTCTGATTTGACTGCCAATAATTAATTTCTCCAAGTCAAGTGTGTTTTGCCCACGACAGTAATTCATGGGTAGTCGATCTACCTCCTTATCTCGGCACATGAGCTTTCCAGCAGATTTTCTCCCCCTGTCCTGTTGATGGAGGGGGAGTGAGAGGGCAGCATGTTGGGTAGCTGGCAGCCAGCCGGGGTCAACCCACCACAACAGTTTTTGATTAAGCCTGGCATTTAGTGATCCAAATGCTTTTCCTAGATGTTTCTCCCCAGAGGACAGTTTCCCAGACTTACTTTCCTAGTCATACTTACCTCAAGTTTCTTTCACAAGTCTGCAGCCTATCTATAGGGCCGTGCTTGTTTTGATTCCGGCCTGGCGGGGTGCAGGGGCGGCAGAAGCAGGGAGAAGCAGCAGAACCTCACCCGGGATCAGCGGGGCCGGTGCCAGCCCTGAGGTCTCTCGCTTCTGCCCCGTTTAGGAGGAGGCTCCTCAAACCTGTTCTTTAGGTAAACGCTGACAGGGCCTCACGGAGCTGCACTTACCCAGTGACGTACAAACGACCCTCCCTGTCCCCTTGCACGCCGCCGTAAGGCAGCTGAAGGTCGCCAAGCCCCCCCGGCATCACCCCCCCTCCCCGTTCCTCACGCCGGGAG